ATTTATAAAAGTTTATTTGAAAGTTAAAGGAAACAAATTACAATTATGAAATTAGAAAATAATTAAGGTTAAGCAGGCACACGTATATCGCTGTCGTCACTTCAGTTTCCGGGTTGCAAGCCACTCTCTCACATCACCCGAGTGCAGGGTTGCACACTCAATACACATTTTGCTACTTATTTGCGGGATGTCTACAAAAACATTTTTTCTATAATTTTCTTTTATTCTCTCATTTATAATTCATTTATAATTTCCTTCAAAGGTTTAATTATTGGTTTAAACGTTTTTTCTAAGAGCTCATCATTTAATGTTTCACCAAGCTGAATACTCCTATACTTTTTTTTTAAATATCAACTTCCATAATATTATAATTAAACAAGTAAGAAAGTCTAAGTTCGGGCGGAGCCGAACATTAAATACCCGGCGCAAGTATTAAATATATGTTTTCCACCTTTCCGAAAGCTACCGCTACATGATAAGCCGGGGTGTATAAATTTTAAGTAAACTAGCGTCCTTAAATTTCGAAAAATTGAAATTTCAAGCATTTCTGAAATTTACCGTTATATGAAAAGCGGCCGTAATTTTAGTCCGATTTCAACAATTTTCAATATTTTGATTTTATGTGGCAAGCACAATAACCATACCGAGTTTGGTACAAATTGCTAGAACGGTTAGCGAGATACATATATATGATCATAAGTGGCCGGTGCCACGCCCATTTTCCAAAATTTTATCATAAGCGTATTTTCTGGTAAAGAATTGTTGCAACCATCAATTTTAGAATAAATTAGCTTTAATATTTACTGATTTATCGAGGATTTCGTATTTATCGAAATTACGGTTATATGGGATGTGGGCGTGGTTATTGTCCGATGTTAAAAGTTTTCGGCCATTTGGTATGCTGTAACAGGGCCAACATCTGTGCCAAGTTTGGAAGAAATTGGTGCGGCGGTTACCAAGATATACACTTGTAACCATAAGTGGGCGTGGCTACGCCCATTTTCCAAAAAATTTCAATATTCTTATTTATCGTCTAAAATTTATTGTAAATATCAATTTTGAGTGAATTATCGGGAAAATTTTAGAATGGTAACCCCCGATTACGGAAATAAGGAAAATAGGGGGGGGTTAGAGGGGGTTTTAAAGGGGGTGTATGTAAAGTTTTAAAGCGCGCAACCTTATAGTTTTTAAGTAATTTGTTATTAAAGTTTGTAATTTTCACCAACTTGTATGGGACTATTTCACAATATATAATGCACTTTCCACTAAATTTACACGTTATTTACACTCAATATATGCGCAGCTAGAGTGTGCACGTTCAAACAAATAAATACTTTTAGTATATTACAGCTTTTTTATAAAAAATTGATTGCTGTTTAACTTTATGAGAGTACATGCAGAATATGTGCAAATGGCAGCAGGACTGTGTTGCCATATCTAAAAACCAAGAGTGGAAAGCAAGACCAAAAGAAAATACGATTAAAAGGAAAATACGACAAGGTTCTTTTGTTCAGATAACAATAAATAGTAGGGGGATTGGGGTAATATTCCCCATAAAATACTGAAACACATTTTTAAGGCTTATATGTATATTTAATTGCGTCAATAAGTTTGAGGAAAGGGTCCTCATGCTTACGAGCAATTGTTTTGCGCCAAAGATATTCTATAATTTTATCCGTAAAATTATGAGGATTATTATAGTTGTCTCGGTTGAAAAACCTTTTAATCACACGCCATTGTGATTCGATCCTTTGCGTATGCGTGCCGTCGTCTGCCACAAAGGGGTTATCCGGATCGCTGTGGTTTACTTTTCTGTGCTCATACCCGTGGTCCGCTAGGCAATCGTACGCCTTCCAAAAATCGGTACAAATAATTGTACCCTCGGCCACATGTTTTTGAATGAGGGGTATGAGCACCTCAGCAGACCGGACATTTTCTGGGCAGACTTCCAACCTCAGATCGTCGCTGCCGTCCTCAACCATCCCTAAGACCCAATGGCCTTCCACTCTTCTGCCTAAAACAAAATATAAATTAAAGAATATGTGTTTTAAAATAAATTTTTTGTACCTTTGTGGTATTTTCGCTTCCCGAACTTGCTCTCGTCGATCTGAACAATTTTACCGGGGCCCCCAATTTTGTCTAACACCTCCTGCTGATCGACTTGATACAAAACAACTGCCTCACGACAGTAGTTGTACCAATCGCAGATGGTGGCGCTAGACAAAACGCTTCCCTCGGTAATACCTTCTTTTCGAACTTCAGCCTGGTTCCAGTGCGAAGCGTAGGCGTACATTAGATAAAAAATGTCTGGTAGTGGAAGCTTAGCATTTTCAAACCACGTACCAGTGGCCCTAGAAACGCCCGATCTTGAACGGCAGCTCCCTTTGCGGCATCGAAAGCTGCCGACCGTTTTATTACCCAATGGTGAAACCGTCATTGGAATTTTATGCGTACGGCATAATCTTCTGGTCAAAATTAGACCCTGTGCCTCTGCGAAAGCGGTACATTTTTCGCGCGTATCAAAAGCCTTTGATACCTTTAGAAGGCTCCACATTCCGCGTACTTCAGCGACGCACAGCACAGTCGCATTTCGTGGATGAACACCACGGCTAGTGGAGGGCGTATTGAAATCTTTAAATAATACGATAAATATTTACTAGATGTATAAATATAAGCACTTAAAACTTTAAAAACATACCTGCTTGATCATCAGTCATTTTAGTTTAAAATAATTAATTATATACAAAACCCAGAGCTCACAAACGACGCCGAAATAACGATTGAAAAGAATATAATACCAAAGCAGAGAAAGAAACGTTACTTTGAATAAAACTAACAGTACAATCCACAGTGGTACCCATTAAAAGGGGTCACAAATCTCTGTGGAACAAAAACATAACATAAATAATAATTTTTACTTTCGTCCACAGTATTTTAGCGTAGAATTCCTTTCTGCGTAGGCGGCCTTCGGCCGCACTTAGGGATTATAACCCTCAGGCAGTAGAATTCTCCTTTCCGTGTTGCCAAAGAAAAGGGGCCGAACACCTTTTGCATAGAACACCTTTCTGCGTAGGCGGCCTTCGGCCTCTCTTAGGGATTATAACCCTCAGGCAATAGAATTCTCCTTTCTGTGTTGCCAAAGAAAAGGGGCCGAACACCTTTTGCATAGAACACCTTTCTGCGTAGGCGGCCTTCGGCCGCACTTAGGGATTATAACCCTCACTACGTAGAATTCTCCTTTCTGTGTTGCCGGAAGAGGGGAATATGACCCCAATCCCCCTACTATTTATTTTTATCTGAACAAAATAACCTTATCGTATTTTCCTTTTAATCGTATTTTCCTTTTAATCGTATTTTCTTTTGGTCTTGCTTTCCACTCTTGGTTTTTTTAGATATGGCAACACAGTCCTGCTGCCATTTCCACATATTCTGCATGTACTCTCATAAAATTAAACAACAATCAATTTTTTATAAAAAAGCTGTAATATACTAAAAGTATTTATTTGTTTGAACGTGCACACTCTAACTGCGCGTATATTGAGTGTAAATAACGTGTAAATTTAGTGGAAAGTGCATTATATATTGTGAAAAAGTCCAATACAAGTTGGTGAAAATTACAAACTTTAATAACAAATTACTTAAAAACTATAAAGTTGCGCGCTTTGAAACTTCACACAGGGAACTATTAGACCCCCATCTACCTCCCATATTTTCCTTAATGCTGAACTCCGGGGTTAGCAATCTAAAGCCCACCCGAATTATCTTCAGTAGTTACTAAAATATCGCAGTGTTTGTATTTCTGAAAATTACCGTTATATGGGAGGTAGGCGTGGTTATTGTCCGATTTTGCCCATTTTCAATACCATCCGTCCTACGCCCGAATGAAGTACACTCGAGTTATCGTGTGCACAGACGGACGGACGGACAGACAGTCACCGCTTAATAGATTTCTCTTTTCATTCTGATCATTTATGTATACATTTGTCTATATCTATCTCGATTCGTTTTGCCTGTTACAAACAACCGTTATGTGAACAAAGTTATAATACCCTTGTGCACAAGTGCGCTCGGGTATAAAAATACAATTAGTAATGATTAAAGTATCTAGTTTAACAGTAGAACTGCCTTATATAACAGTTAGCTGTTTAATAGAACAGCCTTGTTTAGCAGTTTGCTGTTTAATAGAACAGCCTTGCTTAGCAGTTAGCTGTTTAATAGAACAGTCTTGTTTAGCAGTTAGCTGTTTAATAGAACAGTATAGTTTATTATTTTATAAGTTTTCACTTTTAACATAAATGATATACTGGTTTAAATTATTACTAACAGGATATTTTATAAGGTTATAAAGACGTCAAATCCTTTTCTATATCGACCATTGTTGATAGAATCATCTTTACTTATACAAGAAATCCATATTTTTCTTTCCAACATTTATAACATAAAATGCAAAAAGTCTTAAAGGACATATCAGCTCCAACATGATCATTATAGATATGTTTAATATTCATTTCGTCTTGTTTGAATACGATAATCAAATTTGCATTATCTCGAATTAAGTGTTTTGGAATACGAGTATAAGTCTGACATAAATAAAAACTATCAATCTCTTTATGACGACCCATACAAAAATAGGATCGAACATGATTTTGTTTTTCGCAAGCTATATCATCAAATATAAATATAGAATTTGCTTTTGCGTTGTCAGGTGATAGCACATCATCATTATTTGAAAATGTTGAAATGTTAATCTCCTTAATAGGGTTTATTAGATGTTTTAAGTATTTATATTTTGATTGATGTAAATATTTCGAATATAAATAGATGTTTTTGAATTTTAACCCATTTGGACTTTCAATGAGGCTAATAATTACATTTGTTTTCCCACAGTTTGATGGTCCAACAATAAGAGCTCGAATTGAGTTTGGTAATAATGAGCTATGTCGAGCTTTATTTACTTTATTATTATTTTTAATATTTAACGTATTACATTGCTTCACAAACCGCATTTTGACTACTAATATAAATATATATAAACTTATTATTTTTATACTTTTTATTACTTATATTTAAACTATTAATATGAAAAGGCCTAAATATGAGAGTTATTTATGAAAAAGGTTTAGTCATAAATCGTCAGTCGTCGGAAAAGGTTTTATAAATAATATAATTAATAAGCTTCCTATTCATTTGCCTAGGTATCAATTTTGGGGACCTGGAACGAAATTAGGGAAACGTTTAGTAAGAGGAGATCGAGGGATTAATCCACTAGACGCTGCTTGTAGAGAACATGATATATCATACTTATATAATAAAGATTTATTAACCGACATATTGCTGATAAAAAATTAATTGAGAAGGCTTGGGAAAGAGTTAAAGCGAAGGATAGCAATCTTAATGAGAAACAAATGCTTGGTTAGTTACAAATATAATGAAGACAAAAACGAAATTCGGTATGGGGAACATTTATAGTAAAACTAAGAAAGTGGGAGGAAAAACTGGTTATCAGCTCTTCAAACATGCTTTAAAAAAAGCTAAACAAAATTTAAAGAAAAGTGATAACTTAGAAGATCCAATAAAAATTTCACGAAAGGTTGTAAATAATATTTTTAGAGGAAAAAAATCTATAATAAAAACACCACGTGTAATATCATTACCTAAATCTGGAGGATTTCTCCCAGTAGCGCCATTATTCGTAGCATTAGGAGCACTTGGAAGTCTATCTGGCGCTACAGTAGGAATTATTAAAACAATCAATGCTATAAAAACTGGAAAGGAGCAGTTATTGGAGGCGAAACGTCATAATAATCCAATGGAAACTATTTCAATGGGCGAAGGAATGTTTTTAAAGCCTTATAAAAAGGGATTCGGATTATATTTAAAACCATACCAAAAAAACTCTTAATGAAGCTACCCAGAAGACCTCTCACCGATGTAGACTTAAAGAAGTATTCAAAATTTATTCCAAATTTTAGAGGGGTATTTATGTCCGACACGTTACCACGTAAACCATTTAAGAGAGAATGTGGAATAATAAATTTGGATAGTTCAAAGGGTCCGGGAACGCATTGGGTAGCTTACTGGATAAACGATAATGAGATTGATTACTTCGATAGCTTTGGAAACTTACAGCCTCCGAAGCAAATAATAAAGTATTTAGGAAAGAACATTAACTATAATTATAATCAACAGCAAAGCTATATTTCATATAATTGTGGACATTTATGCTTAAAATTCTTATTATCAAAACAAATAAGTAATTATAAAACTTTCTTTTATTTCAAATTAAATTTTATTTGTTCTCAACATCAACAGGCCTTTCCATTCATATATATGTATGTATATATATATATATATATATATATATATATATATATATCTATATATATATAAATACTTAACAATTACCTATGTGGGCATGTTAACACACTTTTCTAGCGGTGGAGCATCTATATATGTATATACTTATGTACGTATGTACGTTTGTATATACCCTGCAAAAATTGGGACTAGGTTAAATACTAGTACGGGACCACACTACCTTGTAACCAACACTAGTAACGAAAATGGTCCAAGTATATGGAGAAAATATGGTAACATTAACATTGCGATGTCATTGGACCTGACCACCTCTGGTCCAACGCTGCATAACATGGGACCACCTAGACAACTACTCCTTTTGGATCATGGCACATTCGGCAGCCGAATCATGTTGCCGATGGGGCACGAATAGGTGGATCTCAACACATATATCGGTTTTTTACGTTTGAAGTGGTCCACGTAAGCATAACAAGTTACTAGTATGCAACCTGGCCCTTTTGCACATACTTTAAAACTACGACCCAGTGGACCACCTGGTCCTCAAATTTTTGCAGGGTATTTCTGGCTGCATACCAATACAATTTAACAATTTTCGATATATAAACCACCTTGTATCGGATTTCTCGGATTTCCATCAGCGGTACACCCTGTGATCGGTTCCGGTTCTGGACTCGGATTTGTCATCAGCGACATCTTACGGCTTTTATCTGAGTTCTGAACTTGGATTTCGATCAGCGACATCTTTTTCCGGAGCAGCAAAGCTTGCGTCGGAGCAGCAGCAAACCCTATACCGATTCTGGAACCGGAGCAGCAGCAAACCATATACCGATTCTGTATTATATGCATCCCACACGATATCAATGAATTCCTCATTAGAACATGAAGTCCCTCTATTTTAGCGTATCAACAGTTCATATGGCTTCATACCATGTAAATGCACCATAAATTTTACACACAAAAAAAGACTTCAAAGGACTTTGAAATTTCAAAAATATGACTAATTCAAATGTTTTGGTATTCTTGTACGGTGTTATAAAGCAATTTTATATTTTTATAACATAAAAGTTTAAATCAGTTTCGCTTTAAAATAAACATAGTTTGCACATACCGTCACTCACAGAAGTATTCGTAATTTTAAAATATATTTATATATTTATTCGTAATTTTAAAATATAGCTCATTCTATAACAAAACCCATATACATAATTCTTGCAAACTTTGTACAAAATTCATAGAAATGAATCAAACTTAAACAAATTTTCATCAACATTTCAAATTTTTTATTCAGAATTTTTAGAAATATTTTCGGTATGCGGTTTTGTAGCCCGTTCAATTTTGGTATAATAAAGTGCAAGTCTCAAGTAGCTAAAAATTACTGATGATTTTTTAGATTTTTTTT